GTATGGTGAGTAAAGGCACAAAGACGTAACTACTCACACAGTCAGCTGGTGGCGGCCGCCCTCAAGGTCAGACGCACTAATATTTCTCCTCCAACAATACTGTTTGTGGTGTTATTACGCTATATACACACATTATATATAAGTATCTACCTGTTTTATTCACCATACTTGTACAAGTAAACTGGTATGGTGCCCAAAGACCATAGTGGTCACCAGTAAACAACACAATAAGTCGTGCAGACGAAGCCACCTCCCTCACCAAAATGGCGGCTCCCAACCTACTCCTATTGCTGTTTATACCCTCTATGCACACGTTATATATAAGTATCTACATTTGTGTTCACCATAGCAAACCACTAAGCTGGTATGGTGAGTGCAGTCAATAAAAGGTGGCCACACACAGTCAGAAGACGACTCCACCACCCTCCCTCCCACAGCATTACTCCTCCCTCCGTGGAGCACAGCACTAAATATCACCATAATCCTGCTATTATCAAAACCCTGGTCAGTTTTATCACAGTCAAGGGTCTTCTGTAATAATATCCCTCCCTGAAAACCAGCATTGAGTGTAATGAAACACCATTTTCTGGGTGAAACCCGGAGGCTTCCCAGCAACCCTCCCTCCCTCATGTCGGCAGTTTTTCTTGGGTTTTTGACATCCAGCCTCAGAACTGAAGGTGTGGATAACTGGCATGGGGGGGGTCTAGGGCTGCCCCTTTCCACCTCCCAGGTAGGGGGGGAGCTGCACAGACAGTGGTAATTACCTAAGTGTAGTTACAGGATGAGAGCTACGCTCGTGGTGTCCCGTCTTCCCAGCACTCTTTGTCATATAACCCTTTGAAACTACTGACGGTCTTGGCCTCCACCACCTTCTCACCTAACTTGTTCCAACCGTCTACCACTCTGTTTGCGAAAGTGAATTTTCTTATATTTCTTCGGCATCTGTGTTTAGCTAGTTTAATCTATGACCTCTTGTTCTTAAAGTTCCAGGTCTCAGAAAATCTTCCCTATCGATTTTATCAATTCCTGTTACTATTTTGTATGTAGTGATCATATCACCTCTTTTTCTTCTGTCTTCTAGTTTTGGCATATTTAATGCCTCTAACCTCTCCTCGTAGCTCTTGCCCTTCAGTTCTGGGAGCCACTTAGTAGCATGTCTTTGCACCTTTTCCAGTTTGTTGATGTGCTTCTTAAGATATGGGCACCACACAACTGCTTCATATTCTAGCTTGGCCTAACAAAAGTTGTGAACAATTTCTTTAGTATATCGCCATCCATGTATTTAAAAGCAATTCTGAAGTTAGAAAGCGTGGCATAGGCTCCTCGCACAATATTCTTTATGTGGTCCTCAGGTGATAGTTTTCTATCTAGAACCACCCCTAGATCTCTTTCTTTATCAGAATTCTTTAAAGATTTCTCACATAATATATAGGTTGTGTGAGGTCTATGTTCTCCTATTCCACATTCCATAACATAGCATTTATTAACATTAAATTCCATTTGCCAAGTGGTGCTCCATATACTTATTTTGTCCAGGTCATCTTGAAGGGCATGACAATCATCTAAGTTTCTTATCCTTCCTATTATCTTAGCATCATCAGGAAACATGTTCATATAATTTTGTATACCAACTGGTAGATCATTTATGTAGACAATAAACATCACTGGTGCAAGAACTGAACCTTGTGGTACTCCACTTGTGACATTTCTCCAGTCCGATACATTGCCTGTGATCACTGCCCTCATTTTTCTATCAGTCAGAAAATTTTTCATCCATGTTAGAAGCTTACCTGTCACCCCTCCAATATTTTCCAGTTTCCAGAACAACCTCTTATGTGGAACTCTGTCGAAAGCCTTTTTTAGGTTCGGATAGATGTAGTCAACCCAACCATCTCTTTCCTGTAATATCTCTGTTGCTCGATCATAGAAACTGAGTAAATTCGATACACAGGATCTTCCAGATCGAAAACCATACTGTCTGTCTGATATTATATCATTTCTCTCCAGGTGTTCTACCCATTTAGTTTTAATTATTTTTTCCAATATTTTGAATATTACACTTGTCAAATGATACCAGTCTATAATTAAGGGGGTTTTCCCTGCTTCCACTTTTGTAGATTGGAACTGTTAGCCTTTTTCCACACATCAGCTACAACTCCTGTAAACAGGGATGCCTGAAAAATCAGTTGAAGTGGAATGCTGAGCTTAGGTGCACATTCTCTCAGAACCCATGGTGAAACTCCATCTGGACCAACTGCTTTGCTCTTATTTAGCTCCTTGAGCATTTTTTCCACTTCGTCTCTAGACACCTCTATGTGCTCTATGTTGTTCTCTGGAATTCTTATTGTATCTGGTTCCCTGAAGATTTCATTTTGTACAAACACACTTTGGAACTCTTCGTTTAATGTTTCACACATTTCCTTTTCATTTTCCGTGAATCTATTTCCCATTTTCAACCTCTGAATATTATCCTTTACCTGCAATTTGTTGTTTATGAATTTATAGAATAGACCTGGTTCTGTTTTACATTTGTCTGCAATCCCTTTTTCAAAATTTCTTTCTGCCTCTCTCCTCACTGCCATGTAGTTGTTTCTCGCATCTTTGTATCACTGGTATGTTTGGGGGTTTGGCCTCTTCCTGTATTGATTCCATTTTTGTGTCTTTTGGTCTCTGGCCCTCTCGCAATTTCTGTTGAACCAATCCTGTTTCCTAGTTCTGCATCTCTGTTTCGGTATAAATTTTTTTGTGCCTTTATCATATATTTCACATATATTTCACAGTGGTGCGGTGACAGTTGTGATGTCATGTTCGTTTGCTCATTTTTCGTTTTTCATTTGGGAGAGTTGTCCAACAGTTCGGCTTTCAGTAGCAATATTTTAACTAAATAGGGTTTGTATTGAGTTGCTTACCTTTCTGGGTGCCAGACCCGGTCGATGGCAGACATAGAATGCTTCCAACCACATGGGGGGTTTCTAGAGGCCATTGCTTCTCGTGCCTCTCAGAGGGGGTCAGGTTCTGGCTTGTTGTCCTCAGTAGGCCTAGAACTCCATTCGCTTTGACTGATGCCAGGGGTCTAATTCATTCATATCAGCCTTGATAGCTCTGTGGAGCCTCCAGATCTCGCCCCAAAAATGGCATTTCATTACATTCAATGCTGGTTTTATGGATTGGGAATGATTGACAAGTGTGCGTGTTTTAGCCAACAGCAGTTTATTTAACTCTAATACTGGAAAGACTTTTTGTATTCTTTACATTACAGTTAGCATAAACTGAACATGAAAATATCATGTCATGAGCCTATCTTAACCCTGTCAGTTACTAAATTTATTCTGCATATGCTAATATGCTTTTGTTTTTTAACTTTTTCTGAAAAATGCCGTCAATATAATGCACCTTCTGTAAATTCGGCAGTGAGTATAATGAGTACTTTTACCACTACCAGCAGCAGTACCATACGTAGGTGAAAGCTGTGAGCCGTGCTCGGCTGCTTACCTGGAGTTTTGGTCGTCTTCTCAACTCCGGGCTTCTACTTCAAGGGGTAAATCTTCGGTAAATGTTTACTTATGGGCTCATGCTTTCTTACCGAGTCAGTAAATTTATCAAGTGTGAATCTATTTTGTATAATAATAACAATTGGTAAATTATGCTAAAGGTTATTAATTTGTTATACCTTATGAAGGAAGTATTGATATATGTACTGTTATCACAAAAAGAAATACAAAATTTAAGCATTACTACTACAACAATTTGTTAGGGTTTATGATATTGCTCACAGATGTTAGAAAGAGCAAATATCTTTTGTGCTGTGGTTGTTTTAATAGTTTTGGTCTTTAATTTATATATTATAAAATGCTGTCTAATGATTCGTCAATTTCTTGTATATTATAAAATGCTGTCTAATGATTGGTCGATTTCTTTGTTTTCAAAGATAAGTTAAGTGAAGGAATTTGTACCTAATTCGCCTAATGTATCCAAGAAAACAGAGAGAGTAATGGTGAAATCCAAAAGTCAGCCAGTATCTGGCATCTATGGTTGTTATTCATTTAAAAAACCCATCAGTTTATCGTTATTCCATTGAGTTGGTAAATTCTCATTTGTACAGTATCAATTTTTCCTTTCTGAGATAAAAAAAATAACCCTTATCATACATGACAAAATATTATTAAACAAATATATTATGTTTCATAAGAATTTCTGGACACGTTTCAAAGCATCAGCTCCTGAAGTAAATATATACCAAATCTTTTAGATTGCATTCACACACCTCTCATTTCACACTGACACAAATATATTTTTAAACTGTTAAGTTAGTTTTAAACCAAAACAGAGACTACTTTACCAGTGATCAGGGTCATGTTAGTCAGAACATGTGATACTGATGCAGTATACTGTACATGGTCTGAAAGCAGAGAGAATGTGTATTTGATTATTAATTTAAAAACTTCGAATCTCGTTTACAAGGCAAGCCAGTGAGTTTTTGTGGTGTGTTGATGGCCGCTTATGACATAACTTTCAGGGGCAGAGCAGGCAGCAAGCTTGTGTCGTCGTGGGAGTACCTCTACCTGTTTTGACCCTTCATTATGCTATCATTATTAACCTGTATTTCCTAGATATTCAGCAACAAACATTACAGTTGATATCACATTGGTATATGTAATGGACTGATAATTTTGATGCCTGCCATTTTGGTCGATGATTGATGACTACTCAATGGCAAGCATACTCGCCATTGGTGGGTGTGCACATGTTAGTTTCCACCCCTGAAATTAAATTAGATACACAGCAATGTTGAATTTTAATCTAGGTTTTAACAAAAACTATATAATATCTAATATTTTTCTATTGGGACTATTATCCTATATCTCTGAGGTACTTTATCTAACAGAATTTTACATTTCTCTTGGCCTATTTTTTACACAAATTCTTTGAGAATATTGTTTCACATTTTAATTTAACCCATGGTAATTTAGTGTAACATCCTATCATTTTATATTTTTTAGGGACCAAAGTGATGGGAACTTGGAACAACGTATTCAGTTTTTGTCCGAGTTGCATCGGGTATTTGTTAGTCTTGGCCAGGAGGAAAGGACTGGTGTTGACAACAAAAGAATACCTGCTTTTCAGCCTTATGAATTCTTGGAAGCCCTAAGGTACTAGTAATAAATATTTAATATTGAAAGTGATGTATGCAGCTATTCTGGATATCTTTCCTTGGATATAATGTTATGTTTGTTGCATGCAGGTGTTTTTTTTCAGATAGTGTACATATAACTACTGAACAGTGATATGTTGTCTTATTTTATATTCCTCATTACTGTATTCAGTGAATTAGCAACCACTCATATTGTACTGAGAAGCTAAATGTATGGGAAAAATGAAGGCTGCCTTTGCAAATAAAGCCAAGTAGAAGTGGGTGGAGGTTTGCAGAGTCCCAGTACTGCTACTATTCATTTAGGGGGAAGTTTGAATTAACTTGCTCCATTTGGCTGGTTGTTCCATTGTGAATTGATCAGCCAGTCAAGAGTCTGTGTTTGCCATATGCTGCCATACAGAGTTAACTGAGAATTTGACAATTGCTGGAAGTATTTTCCTGGTCCATGAGGTGTGTACCCTGGTTCATGAGGTGTGTACCCTGGTCCATGTGGTGGGTACCCTGGTCCATGTGGTGTCTACCCTGGTCCATGAGGTGTGTACCCTGGTCCATGTGGTGTGTACCCTGGTCCATGAGGTGTGTACCCCTGGTCCATGAGGTGTGTACCCTGGTCCATGTGGTGTGTACCCTGGTCCATGTGGTGTCTACCCTGGTCCATGTGGTGTCTACCCTGGTCCATGTGGTGTCTACCCTGGTCCATGTGGTGTCTACCCTGGTCCATGTGGTGTCTACCCTGGTCCATGTGGTGTCTACCCTGGTCCATGTGGTGTCTACCCTGGTCCATGTGGTGTCTACCCTGGTCCATGTGGTGTCTACCCTGGTCCATGTGGTGTCTACCCTGGTCCATGTGGTGTCTACCCTGGTCCATGTGGTGGGTATTCTAGCCAGTAGGTAGTGTACCTCAGTTTGCCAGGAATGTATCTGGGTCCCCAAAACAGTACTAAGAGCCAACGGGGAGTACTCAGAATGGTCAAGTGTGGGACTTTTGAAATATCCATTGAACAGATCTTCAGTGAAAGTTCTATCTGTATTTGCTCAATTTTTTTCTGTATCATTTAACAGGCATTTTCCAAGTGTTTATCAGATGGTATATTTAAACTATTAAAAGTCTTAATAATTGTAGAATCTCAGATATATGTACCATTTCAGAGTTGTTAATCCAATGTTTGAGGGTAACCGGCAGCAAGATGCTCATGAATTACTTCACTGCCTCTTAGACCAGCTGTGCCATCTGCCACAAGACCTGCGGCAAGGAAAGCCAAATGGAACTGCAGGAATTGACTCGAGTGGACTGGAACCAGAGGACGATATAGGTCCACCAGAACCAAAAAGACTACGGAGGAGATCGGAGAGAATACAAGCTATTGAAGAAGACTCGAGCAAGGTTAGTTTTTTGTTTAAAATAACATTGTTACTTCATAAAAAAAATTTGCATATGTTTTATGCAATTAACTATGCTACGAAACTATGCACAAACAGATGTCATTATTCATGAAATATGAATGGTTGTTTCCTTCTTTTTGTTAAAAGTACAGTATGTATATATGCATGCATGCCATTTTGCAAAGAAAATTGGTAGACAGTGATTTTAATTTAATTAAGGTGAATATTCCTTTGTTTAAAAACAAGCTAATAGGAAAGAAGAAACTTGGATGCTCATCCTTCATTTCACACTACTTGACTCTTAATAATGTGAAATAAACCTTCATTTATTTGAACAAAGTTTGACACCTGACTGCACATACAGGGCATCACCAGCACCATAAATGAAGCTTGTAAGTAAAATAACAATTTCATAATCCAAACAAAGTTTTATTCACTACCTTCATGAGACTATCAGAAGAACATGAAGCATCACCATGGAGTCCAGACTTGTCAGGTGTACAGACATGTAATTGAGAAAGTCCAGAAATTGATTATAAGGCTGATACAGTACTGAGTTAAAAAGAGCTATGTTATGGGAATAGACTATATTCTATTATATGGGAATATGGGAATATGGGAATGGAGCTGAACCTTGTGTTTTGGGAAAAGAGAAGAACCAGAGGAAACCTGATCACAATATGCAGAATAATTAATTAGACAAAGTGGACAAAGATAGACTGTTTGGTATAGAATAAGTAGAATAACTGGATACAATTTGAATCTGGGAGTATAAAATTGACAGAGCCACATGGGGAAAAGTATTCATTCAACATACAAGTAGTGAGCAAGTGAAATAATGGTTAACCATAATGGGATGGTTAAGCTTCATTTCTATACAGAAATTAATGTTTATGCAAGGCAAACAATTGTCAGCAGGTCATGCTGCATCTATCGGGTCGTGGCTGATCACTGAAGGTGGTCTCATGTTCAATGCAGCAATAAAATTAAGGAAAATATCTGTTGTGTAAATTTTCTTTTCCCAAAACACAAGGTTCAGCTCCACTAAGTCTATTCCCATAAATTTGTGTAATTTTTGTTATTCATATCAGTAATGTATGATAGCAGTGCACTACAGCAACTCCGCTTACTCATGATAAAAGTACTGTAGCCACTGTCATGTCTCGCACACTTCACTCTTGGCTCAAGTATTTCAGTCTGTATCACTTTTCTATGTTGTAACACATTAACAATTGTTGCCGTTATCTGTTTCCTGGAGCAGTTGCCAAGTCTCCTTGATATTTTATGCACCTGCTTTTGTTACATTAATTTATATTTTTGTCTAATTATTTTCAAGTTTTGTTATGCTTTAAAAGCACAGATCCGTTGATTTGAGATAAGTAGACCAAATATCTAAGATTTGTGTGGGAAAATCGTGGTTTTTTATGGAGATTGATGTAAACAACACATTACATGGGTAAAAAGTCACAATTTGAATTGCAGTATTGTACTGAAAATTTATAAATCTTTAACCACTGTGCTGCTCGCCTTCCAAATACAGAACCCCCCCTCCCCCTGTGTGCAGGAAATAAATTCTCGGGATTTTTCAAAATTGTAAAGTACTTACTTTGGCCGCAATGGGGTCCGTAAGTTTGCGCGTGACGTCATCATTCCCTGGTCACCCGTGGCATATGCTCCCGGGGCCAGTAGGGCGCCCGGTTCAAGATGCATGAGTTGTCACGAATATATTTTTGTTAATTTTTTGCGTGCAGTTCCAAATACATTTTTTTTTGTTTTTTCATGCTAATTCTATGTATAATGAACACGCACACTATATTATGGCAGTAGAACATCCGTATTGTCTGAAGACACACTGTTATGTGCATTACACATGTGTACACATATCTTGCACATATTTCCAATGTATCATGCTAATTTATGTATATATACAATCTATTTACACACTGTATAGTATCACACACTACAGTATATACACACACACACCATAAACACACACTCAGAATTCTGCGAGTGTGTGATATGCTGCGAAACAGCCAAAGGGGCATAGTGGAACCTTGCACTCCATGCACCAGGTGCTGATGCATCTTCGCTTTTGTTCTCTTCGGGTAGTGTTCTTGCATACTATACAGGCACGTTTACCCTTATCCCGTGATGCTCTGCCTGGCATATACTCGAACATGTGGACACCGAACAGCTCGTTACCCCTGAGTCTGTCTGGAGCTGCTTGTGGCATTGTTACTTGCACCGGTTGCAAGTAAATCAAATCAACCGGTTCAAATCGGTTGCGCTTTGATGGGATGTACTGCTTGAATGCCAGTCGCCCCTTGAACAGTACAAACGATTTGTCGATTACCACATTCTGTGCAGGTCCAAAATAATCGCGGAACTTGCCTCTCATGTCACTGAACACCTTCCATACCTTCCACAGTCCGTCGTGTCTGTTCTCATTTGCATTATTTTCAAAATGCAGGCACCTGAGAAGCAACAGGAACCTATCACACGACATATACCTGTTGAACACGGGCGATGGAACAAGGCTGTCTTTGCTGCAATAATCCTGGATGATGTGTTTCTCGGAGTGCTTCATCATCATGCTTGGTGCGAGAAACACGTACATTTCGTCAATTGTGGTGTCCTTCCATCGTGTGAGGCAGGTAAAATGCCGGCGTCTGAGAGGCTGTGAGCGTATCCGTTTGTCTCAGTCACAAGATGGGTCATGAATTCATTGTCGAAATACGCCAGGAAATAGTCTATTTCTGCCATATTCTCACCTGTATACGGGAATAATGATGTCACACCAACTTCGGTAGCATCAAACGTTGGTATTTGTAGAACAAATGTGGCACAATCCTCCCACATAAGTACACCCGGGGGTTTGGTTTTGGCACCAACACCACCACGAGCACCTAAAACACGGCTACGTCGTCTGGTACTGGAGCTGCGTGAGGGTATAGTAGGAGATGAGGCTGATCTACGTATCGTAGGCCTACCACGAACACCTGATGTAGAGGGGCCACTGTCGTCATTGTCCTGTTGCTGCGAGACACGCTGCTGCCTGCCAGTGCGTGTTACTGAAGCAGCAAAACCCCGCCTGGTAAACACCCTCGCTGCCCGTACTCGGGTCGTCCACACTACTTGTATCGGAGCCTATGTCACTGAACCCCGAGAAAGATTCATATCAAGTACTATCACTGAATAAACTTGCGTCGGGACACAAAGGTGGTGGTGGTGATAACGGTGTTGACCCAGGGTGGCGAGGCAGGCCGGGCGAGGCATGTGTACAGAACACGCTTGCGACATCATCCACCTCAGTCTCTCCATCACTAGTATCAGACCTCTGTGTAAGGTCTTTCTCTGGATCATAGTCATCATCCATAGCACCGTCATCAAACAAAATGTCGCATATCTCCTCCTCAGAGAGTCATTTTCCATGACCGCGGATGACCGTGGAGCGGGAGCTTGTAGACGATGCGTCAGACAGGGTTGCTGTTTTGAAACTGAGGGTCCCCATGGCCGCGGGGCATTTTTTTCAAGATGACGGACGATCACTGGGACCCCCAGGCATCCATTTTGTACCCGCGTCACCGCCCGCCAGTTTTAAATAGGATGCGAAAAATAAAAATACCCAGAGGTGCGTTGTGCACCCTCTGTTGTGCGCCTGCAGGCGCATTGTGCAATTCAGTGGTTAAGGAAGTCTATTAATATATTTATATATGAATAGTGAGCACTTGCTTTGTACAGTACTAAACAGTGCCAAAATTTCCCCCCGTTTACACATTGCTTTGGGGTACTGGTTATTACTTTCCTAAAATGATAATCATGACCTCTTGGACAACACACATCAATAATGTTTTGTTTGTATACTGTAGACTTGTACCTTGTTGCGTCAACTCACTTTCTCTTGGGGGGACAAGCAAGGCTCAATATGTGCATTTCAAATAATTTACTTTTTTAATTCGCTTAAAGGCAAATCATTTTGGTAAGGAAGATGGAAGACTTAAGGTAAGTTTTCAGTATTTATTTTCTACTATATCACAAAAACACTTAAAATTTGTAAAGCTATGGTTGTTCGTGCATGCCTGATATTGTCCCTGAGCCAGATCTCAAATTTTGTAGGATAATCATTCAATTGTAGTGTAATATTATTTTCACTTTTTTTTGTATTTCATCAGTCACTGTAATCATGCCTAATAATCATTATACATGGTTTTATGAGAAAAATACCAGTTTGTCATACAAGAAGTAACTGAATGCCAGCAACTGCAGTGATGGATCAAGCTGCTTCCTTAACCCTTGCACTGCGCACCTGTTTTTGGCAAAAAATTTCATGGTGCAGTTGTTAAGGATATATTTTGTTGTTTTGATAAATGTTCAGCTAATGTTAATGTCAAAATGTTTCCAAACTCAATTATTTTCACTTTGAATTATAAAGAGCGATGAAAACATTAAAAAACCTTAAAATATGGCCGAATTTTAAAAAATCACAACCTTCAGGGTGCCTTAAGGTGCTTTGCGCAGTGCAGTGGTTAATACATTGCCTTTTTTTCTTGGTATGTAATATCTGCTGCTTTTATTCAAGGCTACAACAACTATATTGGTTTAGTTTATGCTTGGGTACCAAACATTAACTTTAGTGAGAAAATCCGTAAGAGCCGTGATAAGGATTCAAACCTATGCGGTAGGTAGTCCCCCCCCACACATGCCCCAGACAATCAGGCCACGACATAGTCAAAAGGAATTCAACCTGAAGTTCTGCTAAACACACAAGGATTTCCTGAGGCTTCTACTGAAGCCGGAACATAGGGAAGATTTCCTGATGGAAACTGGATCTTTAAGAACAAGAGGTCATAGATTTAAACAAGCTAAACACAGATGCCGAAGAAATATAAGAAAATTCACTTTCGCAAACAGAGTGGTAGACGGTTGGAACAAGTTAGGTGAGAAGGTGGTGGAGGCCAAGACCGTCAGTAGTTTCAAAGCGTTATATGACAAAGAGTGCTGGGAAGACGGGACACCACAAGCGTAGCTCTCATCCTGTAACTACACTTAGGTAATTACACTTAGGTAATTACAGAGTAATCTGCGGTGACTACCCACCACATTGGTTCGAATCCTCATCTCGGCTCCTACAGGTTTTCTCATTGATGCAGTCATGTTAGTGTGATTACTCTGTGTTTTAACTTTAGTTTTCTTGGTTTAAATTTTTACACTCAGCTCAGTATCATAATTAGATTTTAAATATGAAATGAAACACAAACTCTAGTGTTAAAAGTCACTAAGTATAACTTCTCTCCTGTGGAGTCAGTATGTGTCATTGTGGACAAGGTAAGGTGGTTCAGTTATGTCACTCTTACTTCACATTATCCTGGGAATACACTTGACAAGAATTAGCTATACTGTATCATAGTGTCTATACCCATAATGCAGTGTAAGAATTGAAGGACAGATTTATACTTCAGATACAAATTATTATTAAAATTATTATTAAATTAGAATAAAAATTAAATTATATAAATAACAAATAGAATAACAAATTCATGATACATATGACAGTTTAATGATTTTTTCTAGTAGATAATAATTAAAAATTATGACATAAGAGGTAGGCGGACTGGCCCAGTACTAGGCAGGGCTATGTAGATCAAATCATTTACAGTTGTAACTATCTATTCTGTTTCTAAATTGTTAGCCTCAACAATACTAGCTGGTAATTTGTTTAATTTGTCTACAGTATGTTCATTACCGCCAAACCAATATTTGGTTATATTTGTTTTAATTGTAAATCTACAATTACTGTCAAGACTAACCTCATGGTGTGTTGCTTATACAACAAAGGGAGATTTACTTGTTTCAGAAAACAATAACTCTTACTGTACTACATAATGAATAATTACTTTACAAAAATGACTACATAACCATATCCAGTACAAAATATGTACTGTACAGTATTAGTTATTTTGAAAATTAAGGTTACAAATATTCTTAGTGGATTTGATATGACTTTTAAGTCAGTTTACAATGAATGACTTGTTTACATTAATGTCAGTTAGTTCAAATAAATATCATTACATGTACTGTACTGTGTTATGTAAATATTATTTATTATGAAGTTATAGGACGTTGTCACAGCTTTTTGTTACTTGTTAAGTAGTTAAACTAAAGAGGCCACAGAATTGTCACTAGATGGCCATTGAAGGTCATACAAAAATCATGGAATTTTGTAAATCTTTATGAGCAGGAATCATTTTCAAGTTCAAGGTTGCAAATACCACAAATAACACAAGTGTAAGGTAACTAACTTCATTAAAACTAGATGAAGTGAGATGGGACATGTTACTTAGTTTTCTTTGGGGGCAGGAGGGTTGAAATTGTATTTTGGTTAGTAGATCAAAGATCATGGCCACAGTAATTTGGCTTATACTTGGTAACCTCATTTTTATTAGGCACATTAACCTGAAGTGTGGTACCAAGGCACTTTATCAAGAGAACAAGGTAAGGCTTGTGCTTGATGTCATCGAATAAACTATCGAGGTCACTGCTCCTATGAACAGAATACAAGTTTTCTTCTGGTCGACATGGTAATTAAGTCTCATACCTGTATCGGGCTGAATGGGGTAGCTTATGCCTCTATAGTTATGCCACTTTTAGGGGTGTTTTAGGTACCAGTTACTGGACTGTATTTGCAATAAACATGCAGGTAGAGAAGCAAGTTATGAGCCGAGCTTGAGCTGAATGTCTTCATCTATGCTGATGAACTCTAAATGTATTGCTAACATTTTTTAACACTGAAAATTATTATTTCTTATCTCCTCTTTCAGGCTGTTGATGTTGTTGGATCAAAATTTGTTGGTCGCATGTGCCTGGAAACTTGTTGCTCAGAGTGTGAACAAGTTACTGGTCGGGAGGAAAATTTTCTTGAAGTGTGTGTGCCAGTTAAAACTAAAGCAGACTTCGATGGTAAGTGAATTTATAATGAGTCTTCATATTTTTTAGAATATTCTGGTTTAAAAACGGGTATTGATTGGTATGGTAGTATTTGTTATGGTTACTTGATTGCTTGTCAGTATGCTGTTAATAAATGTGGTTTGGCCACCTATACTCACCTACTGTAATTGTATCTGTGAGGAATGAGCAATGACTCTTGGGTCCCATGTCTCAACCCTTAATTGACTGGTGTATGGGTTCAATGCCTATTAGGTACCTATGGTACCATTCAGGGTACTATGATCTTAAGGGGTAAAACTGGCCCTGCAACACTATTTGGTGGCCCACAGTTTCTCCTTCCATATTGGCCTTTCACTGAATGTTTTTATTTATTTCCCCTTTATTAGTTTATTTCCTTCTACTTTTTCACTTGTATATATTTGTTAAAACATTTCTCACTTGTTCTCTAACCTTCAAGTAGTGCAAGTAACTTACAACTGCTTCACTTAAATGTAACAAAATCAATGCATTTTACATAAGGATGCTCATTATACATGGAACACAGTGTCAAACATTGATATGTTGGGTTCGAGTCTCCTACACCCTGGGTGAATGAAATAGATAGACAGAATTTGAGAATTCTCTTGAGACAATTCTTGTCACTGTGAATGTTGTATGATTTTGAGACTTTGTATACATGTTTGAATTCCACATAAAGTACTTGTCTCATTATTATGTTGCACGTCATGCATTTGTGTGTTGAGTTATCCCATAATGGTCACTCAAAACAGGTGTTCATTCTACAGGTGTTCATTCTACAGCTGACCTAATTACTTGTAAAGTCATTTTCATTTAGTAAGAATGTTTTGAATATTGTTCATCTCTGAAAGTTTATCTGATATTTTGTTGTATTTTCAGTCTTTATATTTTTCATATATGCAGTCGATTTCTAAAACTAAACTAGGATGTGTTCCTGTATGCATGGTATATTGTAGATTCAAACCATGTAAGGTACTGTATTTTTAATATCTTTATGGGAAAAGTAGGGTGCATTAGAATTTTATATTTTTAATCCATTATTCTTGATCAGTTTTAATCCACTAAAAATACTCTTGATTACCATGCTAGAACCACTTGTAATAACAAACTATTTAATAACATTTTCAATTTTACAGAGGATGAGAATGTGAGTGAGCCTCAAGTGTTTATGTCAGCCCTGTGTGAGGAAGAGTGCTTACGAGACAACAACAAGTATTGGTGCGACCATTGCTTCCACCATAATGAGGCACGTCGCTCCGTCCACTATTCCCAGCTACCACATCATCTTGTCATTCATGTTAAAAGGTTCAGCTCGTATCATAGGTATGTTAAAGTTTGAAAACATTTCTTACTTTTTTGGTCAATAAATTGATTGAACAAGTTAACATAAAGGAAATATAATGTTAAACTGAGCATAGATATTGATAAAAGTTAGTTTGAAGCATATGCAGCACTGTATATACCAGTTCATTTACCCAACATGATGAAACAGCCTTTTTATATAATTTTTCCCTACGTTCGAAATATAAGAGTAATTTTTATTGTCACAATCTTCATGTGTTAGATCTCCAGTGATTAGCATAGACTTTAATATACAGTGGAACCTTGGTTCTAGTATGCCCCTGTTCTCGTAGTTTTCGGTTCGGGTAGTAAATTTCTACGAGAAATTTGATTCGGTAGACGTAGTTTGCCGCAGTGGTTGTAGTTTGTTTATACACGTACGGGTCGACCGCAAGCGTGGCGCTTCAGTTTACCAGTGTCTCCCACTTAGTGATGATCGCGTTTGGGGTCTTTGTCAAGAATTTCATTGTTTTTGTGTTTTTTTTTTGGTTTGTGAACATAAAAGTTCTTATTGTATATCACCCCATGGGTTCCAAGAAACTCAGTGGTAATGTTCAACCTAAGAATATAGTTGTGAAGATGACGATAGAGGAAAAACAAGAGATCATTCATAGTGAGACAATGTGATGTCTCACTATAGACAAGTGTTAAAATGTAGGGGAAAAAAGTGTCTATAGACAGATTCTTAGTAAGACAAGCAAGCAGTGAGCCAAAACCAGGTCCTAGTTGTATGTCTGCAAAACGTGAGAGAGAGAGTACCCCAGAAATGTCATCACTGCTGTTATAATGGAAGGGGACTCCCCTTCTAAACACTAACACCTCTCCTCCTCCCTCGTTGTCTTTCATACACCAACAAGTGTCCTCGATAAAGGTAAGGTACCTAACAGTAGTATTCTGTATAAAATGTATTTTTTAGTTAATATTTTTTGGGGGTGTGAAATGGATTAATTCACTTGACATTATTTCTTATGGAAAAATTCGTTTCGGTCTTTGAAGTTTCGGTTTTTGTAGTTTCGGTTTTTGTAGTTTCTGTTTTCGTAGTTTCGGTTTTCATGCCGTCTCTGGAAACAAATTAGCTACAAAAATGAAGGTACCACTCTACTGTACATTTCTTGCTAAAGACTGCAAAGATTGAATTTTAATCAAAGGAGATACTGGGTAGTAACAAGTATTAATTTGGTAATAAAGTTTGTATTTTTCAGAAATATGTTTACTGCCAAGTGCAGTGAAGCCATGCCAGCACCTTTAGAGCTCTCTTGCTTCTGCCGGGGTTGTCTGTCGGAGCAAATACGTAAGCAGTCATTGGCCGAAGTAGGGCACGACGGCAAAGGGCCCAAGTCTAGCTCTAGTGTTAAAATTGAGACTGCTGTGCATCTGCCTTACCATCTTACAGCTGTTGTTTGTCATCTGGGTGCTACTCTTTCATCTGGTGAGACTTACTTTCAACAGTTATTTAAATTAAGGGCATATATACAGTTCTGTACAGTGAACTGGAACGAAACTTCGCTATACTGGAAAGCTGGATGTAATGGATAGTATGTGTTCTGGTATTGTTAGATGTCTAGTAGAATGATTGTATGAAATATTGACAAAATAATTGTCACTGGGTTACACTACCCAATAATTAAAGGAACCTGAGCTTGATCATCATACTTAAATTTTTCAGTTTAACATTATACAGTAAGGCTTTCTCAAGATATTGAACAAAAACTAAAAGATCTAACAATCAGGAACAAATTTTTGCTTTAGATATACAGCTTATACATTGCTCAATTTCAGTGACTTTTTTTTTTTTTTCTTCTTCTTTTTTCTCAAACTTAGATATTTTAAGTCTGAAGTAAATACAATGAGATATTGAACGGTACTCTGCAGGAACATAAAATCATACTCTGTTAAAATGACATAACCATTCCTACTAGGGATACCTTAACCCTTCCACTGCTCAGGGCTCCCGAGGACATTTACCCCCTGTGCCCAAGAAAAAAAAAATTCTAAAAAATTATTTCGTCTTCTTAAAATGTTAATATGTGTTAACATATTAACTCAATTTACTCAATCAGTGACTCAATTTACCCAATCTGTGGATGATAATCTTCGGGTACAGGCTGCGCCGGCGTTGTAGTCTAGGTTTCGGTTGTTGCAATGCGCTAGGTTGGTTCCTCACCCGGATGCCCTGCAGCTGCCCCGTTTTGCTTATATGGACCCGGACTTGGGGGTGGGAGTCGCTTCGACCCTGGTTCAATCCGCACCCCCTGGTCCTTCCCCTCCTGTTGTTCGTTCTGGTCCCCCTTCCCTGCTTCCGGCCTCGAAACATCTGAGGGTTTTGGTGTTGGGACAGGGGTTAGTTGGTCTTAAGAATCAGGCAGCCTAGGGGGGATGCCCCTTCCGGTGTGGCGACGGAGGCATTTGAGTCTCCTCCCCCGGCCGAAGTCTCTGGGCCTCATTCTATCCTGCTTCTACATCTGCGCCGGCCTTGTCTAGTGGGGTCGGTGCTTGGGGGAGGACTGCCCCTCTGGACCCTGCCTGGGTTACCCCCCCCCCCCCCTCCTGCATACGAGTTGGATTTGGTGTCTGCCCCTTCTCTGGTTCGGTTCCTAGGCTCTAGGCAGGGCTTGCGGTTATGCAGAGTGGAGTTTTTCCTCCCCCCCCCCCCCACCGTACGAGTTGTTGGGCGTCGGCCCCTCCCCAGCCCCTCCCCAGGCTCGGTTCCTTGTCCTTTGAGTCGGTTGGTTCTGTCCTGTAGGTGGGCGCTCTTCTCCGTTGCTCCCCCCTTTTTTGGGACAGGGTATCTTCGTCGTGTTTCCCCGTTATTGGGGATTCTACGTGACTTTTGGTCTCGGGTGCGACTGTGCCTTTGTGTGCCTTTGGGACTGGTGTTTGCTTCTGTGTTCTCGAGGGTTCGGGTAGGTTTTCGCTACTTCCCTTATTATTGGAATGTCTGTCGGCTCCTAGTCCAGGTCGCCGGTTTGGGCTACTTGTAGCCCAGTTGGGCTTCTCGTGGCCCGGTTGGGGTTCCCATTGGGCTTGTCTTCGCTTCGTCTTCGCTTAAACTAATATATTTATATAAGCCTAAGTTTGATATATGCACAAGGCACATATTTTGCGTTAAAATATATACATGGATGTCACTGACATACAGTTGTTTAAAGTTCAATGGTTCCTAGCATGGCTGCCCTGTGCATTCAGTTATTGGATGCACCAGACATGATCACCATCTTTTTACTAATGTCCTGGAAGGAAACTAAGGGACTTGGGACATTTTCCAACTATGCAAAACAATTGACACAGGTCTCTAGTGTTAGATAATGTCCCCCTAAAATTGGTGAGGCTTTTGAATAAAATGGGGTACCTAAATCATCTCCAGATGATTGGAGCATTTGGGCCCATCGCCGTCAAGAGATTGGAGCAGTGTAAGGGTTAACCGTGAGGGAACCCCGGGTATCACCTGCCTCATTGATTCCACTTTGTAACTAACACCCTAATTAAAATATTATAAACTTATATTAATGGTGGTTTAGTAGGAAGCATTGTCAATAAATTTCAGTACAGTATCAGCATAGATTTAGTATTAATATTAACACTAAATTAAAAAGTTCATTCCCCTGTTCTAACTTACTTCCCTGTTCTTACTAGTTTACCAAACTTTTTACACCTTCTTAATCTCTATAATCCATAGTTTGTTGTGTATACTTTATTTTCTTTGTTTTTTTCATTACATGTAGGACACTACTTGTCGTTTGTTCGGCTTAGCGCTCTCCATTCATCAAAATGTCCTGAGCAGCAGGTACAGCAGCAGCAGGCGCAAGCACAGCCCACCACCAGTGCCAAGGTGGAGTGTCAGTGGATGAAATGCTGCGGGCTGCAACTGGACCATATCCGTCCTCAGTCAGCTGTAAATGGTCACTTTGGTGTGTATACAGTATGCTCTTTTTTTTTTTTTGTAGCATTATACATATAAAATTTCTTAGAATTTAAGAAAATATAGTAGATACTACTACATGCTGTATCTGTAGTTTATGGACAATGTACAGTATTACAATAAACTTCATGCCATAATCCTTGTAAAACATCTCGTATTAAATCCAGTTTGTCATGTAGTAAATGTAACAATCTAAATTATTAAAGGATCATTCAACCCTTCCCAACCTACTCTTTCATGCAAGTAGGTGATTGTTCTATTTTATAAGAATTATTCACACTTTCTAGTTATACAAAAAGTATTTACTAGCAGTGATTGGAAAAATATTACGACCCAAAGAGATCATTTTAGTTGCATTGAGAAACCAAATACAAGGTCAATGCTGCAGTTGAACATAAGCGTAGGATGTTTATTCCTTTGAATATTTTGAGTGCAAATCAGCAATACACGAAAACAAAAGAATAGAAGAAACTGCAGAAGACCTTTTGGCTCATGCAAGGCAACTACTAATTATACCAAACAAGACTTGCTCTGGTGGATTGTCCCAGTGCTCTGGTGGATTGTCCTAGTTCTCTGGTGGATTGTCCCAGTACTCTGGTGGATTGTACTGATGCTGTGGGGAATTGTACCAGTGCTCTTTTTTCTGGGGGATTGTACTGATGTTTCATTAGATCAGGATGTCAGAATATTGGAAAATGTCCTTCCTGGTGGACAAGTTTTTTATAGCTGCCAGTAAACATTTTCAGCTTTATTCCACAATTTATTATTTAAATATTTTAGTAGTTTTCTCTGCCACATTCTTGGCCTACTGCATTGTTTTTCCAATGATTCCTCGGAACACTCCAACCTAGGTAGTGCATTTCCATAAAAAGTCATTAGTCACAAATATAGTAATCTTCTGTTTGTATTTTGTTATTTTTTAAACTTGCAGATTCTGAAGAATGTAGTAACGTGGAAGAAGAAGAAAGCATGTGGCTGGAATGTGACGATGACAAAATAAAGTTGGTGAGCTCCTCTGAAGTTAGTGACATGATGCGAACTACTATCACTACTCCGTACCTTCTCTTTTATTCTCGGCTTTGATTTCTCGGATCCAGTTTTAAAATAAAAATTTTAAAGAGGAGCTTGTGAGAACTTTCATTTTGATCTCTTAAAAGACTGCAGTGAATTTTTTTTTATTTATCTACATATGAATGAAACAACTTATTCAGTTGCTCAAAGGAAGCCAGAGCCTTTAAAAAAACCCTTGCAAACATTTAATCACTTTGAATTCATTCTCATGTGAGAATAGTGCCTGAAATCCTTTAGTTAATGAAGGAGAGTGATGAGACTTCCATCAGCACCCACTACCTCTTGTGTCAGGTAATGTACAGAAAAAATCACCTGTTCGCATGTGAAGTGTGGAAGCATAATTTAGATGGCTAAGCCAGACTAGAATTACAAAAAGGAAAATTTGCGAACTTGGGCATAACCAGAAAATTCTTGCTAGGATTCCAGTTATTATTTAAGAAATTGTTAACTGCATAAAAGAGAAGAAATTTACTGCAGGTTGGAACATACCCGTGACAGCTTGAACTATGAAATTACCAGAAATTTAGAACCAAGAAGGTGCTATTGAGTAAAGCTTCGTATAAAATATTGCAGTATGAATGGGTGCATCTATAATGTGTTTATAATGGAAATGATTGTGTAGTAGCATTATGAAGAAAAATGTTGCACAATAAGATATGCTTTCTGATATGAAACAGAGGTTTGTATACAGGATATTGTGTAAATGATGATGTCTTTCACATAAATGGAAGCTTTGAAATGTTTTGATACAGTGTGCAGCAGTGTTAAATGGTTCGTTCATATCTAGAAAAAAGTGTACAAGGTTTGCGTGGAATGTGTTTATAACTCATTATGTAACTGTTGTCACAACTTCCAGTGCAAGCTTTATCTTGTTATAAATATGGAGAGTTTTCTCATGTATATGGAAATGTTTCTTAATATATTTTTATATTAAACTGACATTTGAAATTAGTGTAATAATTATTAACTGTGATTAATAGGTAGCATTTATACAATTTACATTTTTACAAAAGAAAACTTGGTGCAAAGTTTGTGCCAGTACCTGTGGGTAAGAGGTACGGTGTCTACATATCAACTTAGGGTCAGGTTCTACTGTAGCTGTTATTATAACTTAAGAGGTTTAGGTCTCAACTGGGGACTTTATGGCTTGGTAGATTAGTAATCCGTGACGCCAATTTTGATATTAGCCAGAACTAAGCAAATGAGATACTGCTTTCATTTATATTATATTTTATGTAACTATAACAATAGTTTTCTCATTGAGGATGTGGTACTGTTGAATGCGTGCAGTTTAAATAATCGGGTTATGGGATAAGAAAGTATTCTTGAATGCTGTTTAAGTTGATACTAATTGTTTAGAACGTAAAGATTTCTTCCCAAAACATACATGGCATATTTGACAAAAATATTATAATACCTTACAGTACATTTTATTTTTACCTGAAAATGGTGTGGAGGATCATTAATTAGGCTCACCCCTCCTAAACTATACCAAAGCTAATACATGCTCCTGAACATCGGCTAATATCTAAATACTGTATTATTAATACTTCAGCATATGTTGACCTTTTATTGACAGAAGTGTTTACTGTTATTAATTCTGAAATTATTGTTATGTTAATTCTGTACTATGAGGCTTTAGTTCAGGGTAATATTTTGTACAGGAAATGTTTGACAATATTATTAGGTCTAATGAACATAATTATTACTTATTTATGGATCTGTTTTATACTGTTCATAATGAACTTGATTAATATTTTTTACGTTATATTATTTTTATTTATTATTCTGCTACAAATGAATTTTTGTGGAAACTAATGTGATAATAACTTTTAAAAGTGTCATCCAAATTAAGACATTTTTTCCCTCTGACTACTGTAAATGTGCCGTGTATTCTGGCACGTTTATCCCCTCGTGTCACCAATATTAAAAACACATCACCAATATTCCATACACACCATTGCCATTTATCACCAATATTAATCACACTCATTACCATTTGACACCATTATTTAACACATCGTCACCATTTGGCAGCAATATTTAAAACACATCTTCACCAGTAGTCACAGATATTAAACACATTTCATGGCCTATGCTTCATCAGTGTAGCAAGATACAGCAAAGTAAAAGAATAAATGCATTGCTTGTTTATTATAACTGAGCCAGAGAGGAGGAGTGGAGTAGGGAAGAAATATGGACAAATATGAACATAAGATGTGGTGGGAGTATGGAAGATAACGTTATGGAATTCCGTCTCTACAAATTTGGCATTCTTTGTGAATTGCTTCAACTTAATATAAGTTTTCAAGTACAGTATTCCCATTCCAAGTGTGAATGTTGCAACTTGGAGGCCAAAGTTGGCTTATTTCAAATAAGAGTATTTTTTTTTTTTTGTTACAAGAATGTAAAAAAAGAAGAGGTTGCAAAAGTGCTGAAAGCACTGGACTGTATCAAATACAGTATTACAGAAGTGCTTGTTTGCTACTTAGAGTTTGTAAATTATATACTGTACCCCATATATCTAAGCCTCTACTTGAAGCACGTGGCTGAATACTGGGTTGGTGAAGCACATTGCTGAACACTGGGTGGGTTAAGCATGTGGCTGAACACTGGGTTAGGGAAATACATGGCTGAACACTTGATTAAGTCTTAAAGGCTTTAAAATAAAAGCTTTCTAATGTAAAATCATTACAACATGTGTAAACAAAGAAAGTTGATTTAAAGGGTAAGTTGAGAAAATTGTTGGGAAAGTAATGACAAAAAAGATAGCTTTCAAAGCTTATGTCGTGTGTCAATTCTGAGAGACTTAAAAACTTGTTATCCATGGAATTCTAGTGTGAAAATTTGTGGTAGATTGTTGTCTTGCTGGCGAGATGTTTAGTATGGTATGGCAAGTTTTAATTTTCTGTTGGTGTAATTACGATTATATGTGGTAGTATATTTTTTCAAAATATGTTGGTTGTATGCCAGATAAAGGCAATTCCTTCACAGTATGTTAGTTATACTTTGTATATTAAATCTTCTTGAACGTGAGATTAAAAATTTTTGAGTGCCAAATTTCTCATTTGAATTTCTGATTTGGTATGAGTGCTATTTACATAAAAACAAATTTGATTGAGGCATCTAAAATTTGTAATAAGGCTTCTAGATGAGAAAATCTGCCCCCTACCCACCCCCATCTCTCAACAGCAGAGTACGAGTAACATCATATTTCTGTCATTACTGCCGTAATGTTATTTGTGTTCTCAGTTTAAAAATGTGAGAATGTTTTTGATGCTGTATTACAAAAGTTAATATAATTAATGGTCTCTAAAAAAATTTAGCCAGTGTTTAACTATTAACTGTATCCCTCTTGTAATGTTTCGTATTGGTTGTTTTGGCATTGTACTGTTTTTTTTCTTTTTTTTATATAATTTGTAATTTTTTTTTTTTTTTTTTTTTTTTTTTTTTTTAGATATATACAAGAGTTGTTACATTCTTGTACAGCCACTAGTACGCGTAGCGTTTCGGGCAAGTCCTTAATCCTATGGTCCCTGGAATACGATTCCCTGCCGCGAAGAATCGTTTTTTCATCCAAGTACACATTTTACTGTTGCGTTAAACAGAGGCTACAGTTAAGGAATTGCGCCCAGTAAATCCTCCCTGGCCAGGATACGAACCCATGACATAGCGCTCGCGGAACGCCAGGCGAGTGTCTTACCACTACACCACGGAGACTACTTGAGCCATAATATAATCATACATCTTTGCAAAAAATGGAAGCATGTTGTTAGATGTTTCAGGTTGTGTACATAACTGTCTCATAAGGGCAGGTTCACAGCCAGCTTTTATTCCCTTGTTTTCACAAGTTTAATATATATCAAATATATATCTAGCTACAATTTGCTAAAATTACTTGTCGAGTATTTAGATATTTGGTTCCATATATTTTAGCAACCAAATATATTTATTTATGATCCTTTTCCACTGAAAAGGATCATAAATTAACTTTTCCGCTAAATCTTCAATATGAAGAATGTTGCTGCTCTCTGATTGGCCAAACGAAACACAGTAGTGACCTCTATAGGCACGCAGGTGAACCAACAATTTTCTTCCTAAGTATACCTTATTGAATCGCACCTAAGCATCTTCTTAGGGCGCACTTAGGAACCTTCGTAGCAAACCCACTTACGAAGAAATACACAGAGCTTCCTGAATCTAGGTCCTGGATACGAACCCAGGACAAAGCGCTCGCGGAACGCCAGGCGAGTGTTACCACGGAGACTGGTAATTACACTAGACTTGCATGCCTCCAACCACTTGGGCTGGGCAGTAGAGCGATGGTCTCGCATCATGCAGGTCGGCGTTCAATCCCCGACCGTCCAAGTGGTTGGGCACCATTTCTTCTCCCCCGTCTCATCCCAAATCCTTACCCTGACCCCTTCCAAGCGATATATAGTCGTAATGGCTTGGTACTCTCTCCTGATAGTTTCCTTCCCTAGGCATGCATGCTCATGCGTTACGACGGCAATGAGACCATATATATATATGGTCAGTATGTATATATATATATATAACTGAAAACTATAACTGAATGGTCCTGGGGACCATTCAGGCTTGTTCGCATATATATATATATATATATATATATATATATATATATATATATATATATATATATATATATATATATATATATATATATATATATATATATATATATATCAGGGTCAGTGTACGACACTTGCAAGATCATATTCTGGATAGTGGTGGCCAGATCGAGGGAAACGAGTGCATGGGAGTAGTAAACCGCAGTCGCCCTGTGGTTGAAGACCTTTACATCAGTCATGGACTTAATTAGTATTGTCTTAGTCCTTCAAGCACTTATCAGGAAGTTGGCCTTCAGAGTCGTAGTAAAGGTATATACTATGCTCACACTGGTAGACGACCACGACGTGTTCCTTTTCAGTTAGATGGAGAAACTTCAGCAGAACGAAGCGGACGTTCATACAAGATTTCTTACATCCTTGTAAAGCCACTGGCACGCACAGCGTTTCGGGCAAGTCCTTAATCCTAATTTTACTCGAAATCGCCCCTCCAAATCATTTAACAATCAGGTACACATTCACAGAGGCAACAGTTAAGGATTAGTGCCCAGTCAATCCTCCATGGTCAGGATACAAACCCAGGCCAAAGCGCTCGGGAAGCGTCGGGCGAGTGAGCATGGAGCAAATAGCTAGTAAGTGAAGCGACAAGAGGAACTTGGTGCCCAAGAGTGCTCCACCATGCACGGATTGCATGCAGCTCCGGTATATACAATTGTTGATTATTTCTCAAAAAAATGTGGACTGTGTGTAGGAAGTTGTCCATTTGTTAGTCGTGTGTGAATGGAATAGAACTATTAGAAGAAAGCGCCAAGCCATTACGGCTATATAGCACTGGGAACGGATCAGGATCACCATCTGGTCACCACTTGGTCCGGGAGACATCTCCCGTCACGCAGGGTGCAGTCGCGCCTCCACAGATCTCCAGTATCAGCTCTTGATACTGGTAATGGCTCAAAAGGGCCACCACTTACGGGCTATTCATGCCCGTGCCACCTCTTGGGTGGCTTAATCTTCATCAATCAATCAATCAGGATCAGGATAATGATTTTAGGATGGGACGGGGGAAAGGAATGGTGACCAACCACTTGGACGATCCGGGAATTGAACAGCGACCTGCATCAAGCGAGATCGTCACTCTACCGTCCCGCCTAAGTAGTCGTGGGTGAGTTATACTTTATATGTCATAAATAATTCATAAAGTATAGTAGTGTGATAGTGCAGTTGTGTGAGTAGTAGCGTAATATTGTGTAGACAGCGTATTTATATAGCGTGTGCGCGCCTGTGCAGGGTGCCTGCAAGCACATCCTTGCCAGTCTCGGGGAGGGATTCACACTGCCTACCCGGATCTTGAGGCTGGTAATGATAGTTTTACTTACTAATCTTACTGGCCCTTTCATTGTACAATGTCATACTGTCACTCATATTGCTACTGCTTGTATCCTGACGCACTGTCAGCCGTCATGCAGCGTAAAGCACTGCGGACTACACTGGCGCTTGTAGAGTGGAAGACAAGCGGGAGGTAGTTGCTGGTATGTAGAAATCAATAGTTAGACCTTTTTTAAATTACTTTTACTTGTCTTTTCTCCGAGACGACCGTATGCCTCCGTATGGACGATTATTTATGCTAAATGTAGTTGATGTTTTATTACTTCCAACCAACGCATACTTTTGAAAGGTGTTAAATTAATCCGGACTTTCATGAAGTAATCGCTTGTGGTACTACCGAGGGGCCTGTAATACTTTCCCCTCGCCTTTTATCTCCTAGTGTGAGTGGCGGCGCTGGGGGCTGGCAGTACACAAAACGGGTTTGGTCAAGGTCTCGTCCTGCGTCACTGAGGGACCTAGTTGCTCTCAACAAGTCATATACCCTTCTTAATGCTCTCTCCCATACACGCAGCTTCTCTTGGTCAAGTTACCTTATCTTACCGGAGAACGCAAGAAGATTTGATGGTGAAACGTGCGCTTCCCCAGCCGTAGTGTTTCACGGGTTGTACGCTAGGCTACAGCTTACACAATTTTGACCAACCAAGCAGCTATAGCATCATTTGTTTTTATTGGGGGATAGAGTATTGACCCTGTCTCCCTTCACCGTCAAAAATATGTGAATTCGCCTAGTTGTGTGTGTACTCACCTAGTTGGGTATGTGTACTTACCTAGTTGTACGTGCGTGCGTACATACTAACGTAGCTGTCATCTGGCAGAGTTGGTTGACCGCCATGAGTGGGAGACAAGTTTTTCATAAGTTTTTTAAGGATTCTATCTAGCAATTGTTAGCGATAAAATATTTTGCCCGTGTAAACTACATTTCAAGTGCTATACTATACAGCTTACATTTGGCATACATTTTAATCTAGTAATCACTTGTGGGCCTCGATTGTCATTGATATAAGTTAGCGCGTGCAGCCCAGTGGTGAGTGAGGCTGCATTAATGGGAGAGACTGTTTGGGACGCTTCCCGTCCTAAAATTCCCCTAGGAAGGGTACAGTGTCCCGGTAGCCAGCAGGAACCTCTTCACAGCTTACTGGTTAGGCCGTCTTCCCGCCATCCTCACTGTGCTGGCGGGGGCTACACTTCCAGCGGAGGTTAAGGGTGCATCACCAATTCGTATGAACCTTACAAGGTATATAAACCGAGGTCTAAGTAAATTTATTTATTTTTGCTATAACTTTTAGCAAGTAGGGTCACGTTTAAGCTTTAAATTCCATAAGCCTTATTTGAAATAGTCACATCTTGTCTTTTTACATTTTTTTTAATTTCCATTCCGCTTGAGCCATTTTTTTATTTGTTTCTTCTGATACCGCATTGAGGGGTCAATTTGATCTTTTGCGTGTTCTGTTCCTTAAGAGTCGCATCTCCACATACCTCGTGTTTTGAGTTTTGGTGTGAATTAAAAGACCAGCCTTTAGAGTCTGCACGCTCCATGAAAATAATTTTATCTTTATGGATCAAAAAGGAAAGGGGAGGTTGTAAAGATGCCAAATAATTTTTTTTCGGCCTGATCAACGTGTCTTTCACAACTAAAATCAGGAAGATGTCAGACGTAACATTAAAGTTGCATAACTTCAAGTTTGGAAGCTGTAATGTAATGTTTCCAGACGTTAGAGCACGAACAGATAAACACAACTGACAGGGGAAAAGAACTCTGACAATTTTCTCTAATTTGCAATATAAAAAAGGTAAAGGTGATAAATTATTATGGCGGTGTGCTAATTTTGTTGGTCTTGCTGTATCATGCTTACCTGACCCGAGCTATGTAACTTGGCGACCGGCCAACCTGGAGAGCCCCGGGATGCAAGTTCAAGACATTCCTTCTTACCGACACATAATTGACGCCTACAAGCCACTCTTACCTCATGCACGCTACAATATACCTCCCTCTTGATTCAAACGTAGCCTGTGCCTTAATTTCGAGCGTGGTACGGTCACCACACTCACACAGATCAGAGAATGAAAACAGTGGCAGAATCAACCAATATTCGTTAAAAATTAATTGTGTTAAAACGTATTTTTTTCTCTAATTGTTTTGATGTATGCCATAATTAGATTTGGTTTGCAGGCGATGAGTCACAATAACGTGGCTGAAGTATGTTGACCAGACCACACACTAGAAAGTGAAGAGACGACGACGTTTCGGTCCGTCCTGGACCATTCTCAAGTCGAGAAGGTAGGTTTGGTTTATATAAGACTAACCTTTATTGGAATAAAATCGTCTCAATCTCATGAAAATGGACCAACT